TTAGAACACAACAATTCCAGGAATTATTAACACAAATGGACACAATACAAAGACAATCAATTGACCAAAACTTACGCAAACTTGCCGAAACCGCAGGATTTGCAGACATCTATACGCAAGACTATAGCGGATATTTTAAAGACATTAAAGATTATATATATCTAAACGGTGAAAAATACCGTCCCCAAGATATATCACCTATCAATATTTTTAGCTTTGTTACACTCAAGAATGAAATTCTTGATTTTCTAGGATGGCCCTACTACATCTTAGAAAAACTAACTATTTTATACGCAATGTTTAACTTTATTGGATTTCTTTTTTCACTCTTAAAAGGAATCTATAACACATGTGCTATACACACACAAGTCAATCGACAAGCAAGTGTAGCACGCATACTATTTGCAGGATTTTTTGGAATATTTTCTACATCTATAAACAAAATTTTTTTAGACGCACAAATAAAAGAATATAACACAAAAATAGCAACAAGACAGAACACATACGACGAAGAACATAACAATGCAGACACAACACCAACAGCACCACAGTTACCACCCCTACCACATAACCATCCATTATCCCTAGTCCCACGTAATTTTCGAAATTTAGCCATAACACATAATAATTTTAGACCAACCATATCACAAAGTCCCATCCAACATATAATGCCACACCACTCACAAGATGAAAATACTTATGAACAAATTATAGAACAACCCCATACCACCGCTTTTCAGTCTCAAAATAATAATTTTTTTAGCCCACGATGAGCCGACAACTTGGATCCCTACACCGATCAAATTCCCACCCAACCAACCTCACCACTCCAATCCCAATAATACCACTTTTTGCTTTTCCGCCACCCGATTTCCCATCCAGTAATGTAACATCCGGCATGAATTCCGATACTAACTCACACATCTCAGTTTTATACTCCATCTCACAACTCAATAACCCGAATATTGAAACCCCCGATGAATTTGCCGACTCCGAACCATCTCCATCAAATAATTTTCACACCAATCCCTTAAATTTTTCCCAACCCCCTTTTCAACCCATACTACCAAATAACCCTGACCCAACCAATTCTACACCCTCTTATGCTTCCCAAGTCACTCCAACCTACTCCTCACTTCACTCAAACCAATCATCTCATTCTTCAGACACCCCCCGAATCTCCCCAGAACTAGATAATTTCATTACCTTACAGCAACAATCCTATCACCTTGACACCCCAACCATAAACCAAATCTCATCCGCAATAGATTCATCCAACCCTCCTACCCCTACACCCTCTTCAATTTATACTGATTCATTAGCACCATCATCCACAACTACTGTATCTTCACTCAGCACTAATAGAGCTTACCGAACTTTTAAAAGGAAGTTCCCCAACCATCCTTTCCCAGCGAAACCAGGAACAGCCCGTGAATACATCAACCATCCACAACACACTAACACAAAAGAATTTTTAGCTATCACCTTACCCTCATTTCCACAATACACCTTAAACACCCCTCATGACACTAACGAGACACGTAACTTTGTAGACGAATACGTTTTAATGCCTACCCTTCCTTGGACCTCATATTATCATTTTACAAATCCCCTTTGCTTACCTTTATCTAACACTCATATCGATATAGAACGAAATATGGAAATGCTATATCGACTCACTACACCACTAACACCTAGACAATTTACCTACATTGGATACAAAAAATCACTAAAAACACACACTGCACCCCGAGCTAATGAATATACACTAGAATATTACGACCATAACATCATCAGAACTAACCAAGATCAATTCTTAGACGACGATCGCTTCGCTAACCCACAAATCACCGAGAAATTTTTCATTAAAACACCATATGTATTTACACTAAATATCTTCGATCGCAAGTTTGACCACATTATCTCAGAAGCACTAACAGACACGCAAGCCTACGAAAGTTTTAAAGAACGCTTCCAAATATTTTCACTAACCTTTCATTTCCTTGCACCACATGAAAGAGATTTGCACTGCTCACACGATATTATGTTGCGCACTAAACAAACACACACATATACTTATTATCGTTTCATCCAAAATCACTTTGACCTACAAACTCCCTCCAGACAACCACACCATCGTTTTCAATTCATCAATTCCAAATACACCTCACCATTCTTTCTTAACTTCACATATTGCATTAAAGATACTAACCTTCATGGTATTCTTCGGAATTATGATCCCATAACCCAAATGTATATCTTTTGTCCCATCACCAAGACCTTCAACGCAGAAGAATCCCGACCCTTCCTCATCCCACACGAGTTTGTACAACCTATAGAAATCCCCATCTTAGAATTCATCCATAACACTAAATTCAACCACAAATTATATAATCTAATCCAAAACACACCTTATGAATTTGCAGTTGGCACTGAAGAACTAACCACAATTAAGGCACTTCAATTGCTTTGGCCACTGCTTCAAACTAAAAATATCATCCGCATATTAGCCAAACTACTAACAACTTCAGATCTCATTCACGACATTTTCCCCCACGGTTTCTTCCCCGACGACTAACAGGTAAGTATGAATTATACATATAACTAATTAATTCAAACATTAGAAACTCACCATTCTTTATCCATGTTTTCTTTAGAATTTTAGCCTTCATCCAACGATCATCTGAAAAATTCACAAAAGAAAAATAAAAAATAGCAAACTTCTTCAAAACTGTTTAAAACCCTATTAACTTTTTGCACCAACAATTAAATAAATATAATACCAATGCAGTAAATTAATTTATAAACTTTTCCCCCACCAGCAGTAAATCTAATAATGATAAAAATTTGTAACTTAATTTCCCCCAACAACTAGCAGTAAAATTAAAATTCTATGTAGTAAATTCATAAGAAGCAAAAGCAGTACTAACCTTTTGATATTTTCATTCACTCGCATAAGAATTCTATCCACACTCGCACAGCTCGCCCACGAAGAATTGTTTAAAATAATGAATTTCAGTTTCAAGCTTTCACACTCGATAACTCTAACACAAGATAACATGTTTCAAACTTTCCTTTAACCCGGTTGGAAAGGAATTATATACTAAACAAAACTAACCAATGCAGCTTACTAAACACCACAACACATAGCATAACAGCATGACTAAGAAAAGGAAACCAACGGTACCCAAACCGGATTAACCCAGTTTAAAACTGGATAAATTATTCTTTTGAAGACTATTATAAAGTCTAAAAAAGAAATAATAAAACACAAAAAAGTCGAAAGACAAACCCATACCACAAACAATTTGATTTTTGAAAAAAGGACACAACCAACAAAACATAAGAAAAACCACAACAAACCCAACATAAAACGTTGTCACATAACAGGACCTCTCACAAAAACCGCATGCAATCATACTCCCACTCCTGGCCTAACCCACCAGGAAGGACGTCCTGAGCATGCTCTATAGCCGGCCTAACCCACCGTGCTACATCCACGCTTTGTGACCACACTCCTATTTTTAATAAGAGCTACTCAAGGGTGAGTAACTCTTCAAAATAACTGAACTAAAACAAAAAGCTTTTGTGAAAACAACTAACTAAAATCATAATTAAAAAATACTAAACTAATAAAAGTTTTATAAAATGTAAATTACATTATGCAATACATAGATCAAAATACAACACCAAGGACGAACATCCAAAGACAAAACGACCCTACTACACTCGAGAAAGAATGGCCAACTACAATCAATATGCCGCCCACAATCACAACTCAAAGGATTTAGAGTACGACTTGACTTCGCAGAAAAGGACTTCATTGAACTAGACCAATGACCACCTCGATGTTCAAGTATACGTACAGATCCGAGTAACCAGGCATCCCCACCACGCACAATCTCCACGCCATTCCCAGACAAGGTCAAACACAAAGAAGTTCTCACCAATGAAACAGAAAAACCTGACATAGCCAACCATTCTGAAATCAGATTTGAGTTTGTTGCGAAAACCCAGTCGTTGTCTTGAGAAGACACAATGATTGAATCTGGGACTTCTCTAATAAGAAAACCCAGAAGAAATAAGATGTTCGCCAAATACCAACGTCCATCATCCATCTTTCGAATTGCAGAAAAACTATTCTAAAAAACTCTGTAAAACCCGGATGGGTGGAACCTGATCTAAACTACATTTTATGATTGGATAAATTAGATATTTTACCAATGTAAAGTATTTAATATTAACCAATCATGATCCATCTAACTAACAATCCACTTATTTGTAAGTGCTGAAATTACTTGTAATTTCAGCACCAGAGAGATTTGAATTTAACTTAGAAATTAGTTGAACTCTCCCGAGTACTTCAGCAGCCGCAATAAACCAGTATACCCTAGATCTATTGAGCCTAGCAGAGACTAGTTAAACAACCTGAGACTAGATAGTATAAGAGTAAGATTAGGATCGGTATTAGACTAAGAAGTTGCACGAATCTATCCGGCCGAAAATAAGATAGCGTGACGAGCAGACGGTGTACCCTATCCGAAATTACTCTATGAGTTATACACTTCGGTCCTAACTCAATGGGGACCAACCTCAACCCGGGAATTGCTATGGTCATACAATTACTACTTTCACTCAAAAAACTACTCATGCGATTCCCATTATTGCTATACAATACCATAAAGGATATACGCTAGTTATATGCAGCTGAACATTATGGAAGAATGCTAGCCACATACAATTTGCATGCAATTCTGAAACGAGTTGACGGTAACATGGGAATGACTCGCACTTTTTTGTTAACCCGGATAACGGATAAGAATATCCTGTTCCTGGATCAGAGTTTCCTGAACCATGTCTTCATTTACCATGTAGTGGGAACACAGATATTGTGCCTCCAAAATGTAGGGGAGTTTAACGATATAAGAAAACAGTGACTTCGTTTTGAGAGTGCACTCTAGGTATATAAGTATCTCCACGTTAGCATGTGCAGTATTCCAGTTACGTTTATTATGGTCGCTCGCTCTGGTTTCATTTGACTCCCGCAGTAGTTTCATTTTGTTATGACTTCTCTCCTGAGCTTTATTGTTAGTACAATTGAACTGGAATCAAACTATCTAGAAACGTATGCAACTTCATTCCACACTGCAGTTAAACATTCCTTTTAGCTGGAACACACCAATTAGAAAACTAACCATAGAAAATCTGGACTTGTAAATCGGCACAGTTCAACATTGGCACCAATTTATTCATTTCAACTGGAAGTTTGACGTACAAAGAGAGAACCACGTGAAGGTAAGAAAAGCAAGAATAAAAAAATTCTTTGTTATAAGTTTTGTTGCCTATAAATTGCACAGACAGTAAGAAGCATCTCTGTGATTTGCTGTAAGAGTCCTCGGGTCGAGGACGGGGACTTATGTTGCGACAATTGCGTCTCAGAGTGGGTTTGTTGCGACATTTGCGACCCAAATCAGCTATGTTGCTACCATTGCGACTCAAAATGGGTGTATTTTTTGTTTTTAGTTATCGTCTTTTTGTCGCGACTTTGCGCGACCCAGGTTGCGACTAATGTTTCGCGCGACTCATTTTGCGACCTTGTGCGACCCACGTTGCGACTTTGCGCGACTCATGTAGCGACTTTGCGCGACTCATGTTGCGACCTTGCGTGACTCATGTTGCGACTTTGCGTGAATCATGTTGCGACTTAGCATGACTGATGTTGCGACTAATGTTTTGCGCGACCCATGTTGCGACTTTGCATGACTCATGTTGCGACTATTCGCGACCCACGAGTCGTGGACTTCGGCCCGGATCGTGATGAGGTTCTTTTTCCTTTCTGAACTTTCTAAAGTCACCTTTCCCATTTACAATCTTATTTTAGACAACTGAGACTTGAGGAAAAAGCGCAAGGATTGAGCTCTACGCCCCGCCCCATTTCCCTTGGCCAAAAAGGTACCCCGTTTTTTGTAATTTTAAAACCTCGATTTTCTTCCAATCAGCAGAATCTATTGCATTGTCGAGCACACTTATTTAACCTGCGTTGATTTTTTCAGGGAACAAGTCTGTGAATTTCACCAGAAAAAAAGTCTCAATTTCGATGTGTAGCGGTTCGATTGTTTTCGATTTCACGTTTCCGATTGAAGCTCTTGGATTAGTTTTCTCATTCTTTTTCACTATTTGTCGGATTACACACAAAAAATATTCTGATGTGTAACATAACTGAATTTCAATGAACAACGTGAAAACGTTTTTTTCTAATGTTGATACGACCATTGAAAATAGGGAGGAACTTTGCATTCGGGTGTGTTTTAGTCGCTTTCCACGCAAACTAGGTGACACAAATAATTCTTGGACTGGGTTTAAAGATGTAACATATTGAAGAAAGCCTTTCAGTCGTGATTTGAATGACATTAAGAAAATTCCAAAAAAAGATCTTAGTGTTTAAACTTTTGACAAAATAAAGTGAAGATAACTTGTTAAATAGGCTAAAAAAACTTGATTTTTCCTAGAAGAAATTAGTTTCTTAAGCTATATTTGGCACTTCCCTGGCAAGAAAAAGAAGACAACCGAAGACAACTGTTGTCGATCATGCCTAATTTGCTAACTTTTTTTGCGTGTATATAGTTTTATCATCACACCACGTACAAAAAACGACACTAAGTCGAAGAACATAATAATAACATTCTGTGTTTTCTTGCACAACAACCGCCTATCCTTCATCGAGGTTTGATTTTTTTTTCTAGGAAAACTCTTAAGTATTAATCAAGATCAAGTTAGATTTTTCAATGTTTCAATTTTAGTTTTTTTTTGTTAAATACGCTTTTTAATTACAAAAAAGTAGCTGTCACGAAAAAGCGTTAATCGAGTTTAGTTTCGAAAGCAGACTTTATTTTTAGATTCCACAGCAACACACAAACTTTACCTAATGACCAAGCTGTCTCTAATTGAATCAGTTTTACCCAAAAAAAATGGTATCAAAAAGAACAACTTAAGAAAAATTGACATCGAAACCTGAAAAATGTAAAATTGTTCAAAAATAGTCGGTCTTTTCTTCGGTACTAGCGTAAAGTGTAAGTGAACTCTGTACGGTAAATAAAATAATTCTCATACTACATCCAATACTCCTACAATCTAGGACTAGAACTTGGTTTGCTAAGCGAATGCTAACAATTACGATTGATAAAACTTATTGATAAAAAAGATCCGAGTTGAAAATTGCAGTTTATACGATCAATCAATATTTTGGTTTATTACACTAGTCGTGAAAAGCGTTTTGGTTGCAGGTAAGTATAGAAACCATAAAAGTCCCAGGTCGAATTCAGTGGATCACAGACAATGCGAGGCTAAACTGCGCTTAATAAAGTCGCACAATTTGGTGTCTGTAGGTCACTGGAATCCAGAGACCAGTCTTTCAACTTGTTTTAAATGTAATTTCCGTGAATTCAGCGCTCAAATACTTGGAATGTTGTACTCGAAGGCTATTAGCTTTGATGCACTTTCCGCAATGAGCGAAAACAGTTAGCTCGTCGCGATTCCCCAAATGTAATCAGATTGCGCAAATTGTGAGCGAATTCCAAAATGTGCACGCATTACGCTTATTTTTTGCGGATTCCGCTTTCATTTTGCAAATTTTGCTCACATTTGCGGAAGTCCGGCTATTTTCGCTATAATATACACATATAATACAGTTTAATTGCAGCTTCCTCAAATTAAATTTCAAACGTTAAAAATTATGTTGCGGTTTTCGCAAATTGCTCTGTTTTGGGAGCAATTTTGAGCAATACAGTGTTTTAGCCATTCGATAGTAGAATTCAAAACAGCAAAAAAGATTAAAAAACTATCAATTCTGCGATAGATCTATTTTCGGCCTGTCGAGAAATCCACTTACAGCTCACGAAATACAAAAATTGGCCGCCTCGAAATAGCCTACTGCGATATACGTTCTGGATATAAAGAACTAACTTTATCACCAGTTACTTGCAAGAAAATTAAGAAAAAACTTTTCAATTCGGACATGTGTAAAATTTAGGACATGTGTCAAATTCGGCAGTTCCACTTTTGAAGAAATTAGAAAACATATTTATTTCAAGTTTCTCCGAACTAAAAAACGGAATATATGCTCGGGGCAACTTTTTTCTCTTCGAAAACTTTTGAAATTTCAATTAGTCATTTTTGATGGAACTTTTCAAAAAATTTTCTGGAAGCTATTGATCTCCCGATCTCAGCTGATAAAGATAATTTACCTGTGATGAGCTTTTTCCAAGGTTATGTGGGTTTCAAAAAAGCCAATTTGAACCATCTGCGAAAATTAAAAGCAACATAGCCGCATTTTGTTTGCTCATTTTTGAAAACCTTAAGCAAAGCTTATAATGGTCCAAGCTGGTGTTACACTGATAACCGATTAATCGAGGTTCGAAATCCAAAACAAAAATTCAAAAATTTTGCCTGGGTGTTGAAAAAACGTTTGTCAGACGCTTTCAGGTTTTTAGTGTCACTTACTTAAAATAAACTGACAAAATTTTTGTCTAAAAAAAAAACTGGTCCAAAAACTTTGATTTTTCAGATTAAACTATACAGGCTGATAAAAGACTACGATTAGATACTTTTATCCAAATTGATTTTTGCTATCAATTAAACTTTATTTAGGATTTTATATACGACATGCTTAGTTTTTTTTCTTTTGTTCTTGGCACAATGCAATCTTAACTTGGAATATTTATTGGCAAAATAATTCAATATTTTATTTTTTTTACTGTAGAATTTTTCATAATCCTGCTTATGAAATTTTTTTGCAAGTTTTAGATATTTCGCTTCTTCCAAGTTCGCTTTTATTGCAAAAAGTACAACTGATTGCTTTTTTTTAGCGCAAAGTATGATAGCTTAAGAAAATATTTCTGTGTATTAGTCATGAAATGAGGCGTTTTACACGACTGAGAATTTATTTCGAGCGAAAGAAATTTTTACTTGCCGAGGTGATCATAAACTCCATGGTATATCTGATTGTGTTTTTTTGTAACTTAAATTTTACGACTTTGACGTTGATTTATAATGCCTATTTTTGTTAAGAAAACAGAAACCCTTGTTATTTTCATTTTTGTGGAGAAAGAAACCACGAGGCGAGAAGATTGATAACCTAGCTTAATCAGGTTTTCCACGGCAAATCAGGTAGCGCAAATAATCATCAGACTGGGTTGAAAGATATATCATACTCAAGCTTTTTAAGTCGTGATTTGAGCCATATTCAAAAACTTCCAGTAAAATTTCCCAATGTTTCAAAAAACCGATTTGAAGTTTTTGATTTTTTTTGTCTAATTTTGAGCCAGTAAAGCAAGCAAGCAGGCTTTTTTATGCTTTGTTGAAGCCGTTCTCAGATACTTTTTTATGTTGAGTTTAAGTTTAACATGATTAAAGTTAATTTTTGGATTTGTTCAAGCAAATTTGGGAATAAAAAAATTTCTGGAAAAAAAGTTGAAAACAATTGTGATTTTTTTTCATGATTTTTTTTGTTTTCTTGTCCTTTTTCTAGGAAAACTGCTGTCTTGCCTATTTTAATACGACGTTCGAATAAGTTCTAGTTTATTAGTCAAACACTGGCTATCCTTGTCGCTAAATGGAAATAGCTGTATACCCAGGATTTCGAAAACGTTTTGTCAGATTTGACTTTACCATAATCATTTTTGCCTTTGATCAGCATTGATATCTCGCTCGCCTCGTATATTTTTTGCTAACCTAATCTGAAAAAAAAACCTTATCAGTTTCTTGTCGATCTTGGGATACAATTAAACATAAGGTTTTGTGGTGCATATGCTACATGAATTTTAAAAACTTATCACCAAATTAAACAGGGATAGATAGGAATAAGTTTCAATCAAATAGTAGATGTTAAAGCTAACTTGTTCATGAACTTGTGTTTGAATCAAGCCGAAGAGTGCTTCCATTTCTATCCAACAAGCTGACTCATGTTTCAATTTTGCTTAGGGTTCTTTGCATAATTATAGCTTACATAAAATTTTCTTAGCTAGGTCTAATATTTTTCTATCTATAAAGCCTCCCCACACGGCCTTAATTTGTTTCACGGCTAGAGGAAATTTTTTTTTAGAATAGAACTGAAGAAGAACAACACAGCTCATCGGCAAAGCCGTGAATTTTTCATTTCGACTTCACTTTAAGGCCAAATAAAAAATTTGTTTTGAAAAAATGACAAAATAGTTGAGAAAAAACCTTTCCATATTCTCTTTAGTTTACCCCCCTTAAGCTAATGCAAACAAGACTGCTCGTATATCAGGGCAAAGCCTTGAAAGTTCCGACTTTTCCTTCGATCATATCGAATAGTTTTTTTGGGAAGAAAAAATACTAAAAAACATTAATTTTAGACAAAATCAAAGGTGAAGTGTGAATTATTTAGTCGTGCCAATTTAAAACGACCAATTAGCTAGCCCCAATTAAATCTGAAACGATTTTGGTGCGCTGGATAATTTGATGCGCATAATTAATTCGCGTTATGCTTTCAGCATGGTGACTAAAATTTTCAAAACCCGCCTAAGTTAGTCCAGAGCATGACAAAATCTGCATTTTTTAAACTCCCAGAAGTTTGCCAAAAATAATCGGAGGTAAAATCTATTTTAAAATTTGATTTGAAGGAGTCGATACAAAAAATTATTTACCTCAATGAAGTAAAAAAAAATTTTGCCAAAAATTATTATTTCAATCGCCGATAGTTGACTGAATGGAAAAAAACCACAAAAGTATAAATATTCGTTTTTTTTTCGAAAGTCAGAATAACTACAAACTGAGATAAACTGAGCCTATCAAGTTAGCGTCTTATATTCTAAATTAAAAATATAATTTGCCTCATTTCAGTTTGGAACGCAATAATCTGCCGCTTACTCGTGTTATAAGAACGCAACATACTGCGCGTTAACCATCTCAAATTCGTCAAATTAGCAATTTTCAAACCCCCATAAATTAATAAAAAAGAAATACAGATTCTACACCATTTGAGCTCCAGATATCAATATTTTTCAGATGCTTTATAAAAATTTTCGTCAAAAATGCTTAGTTAAAATTCAAACATTGACTAAATAGAAAACCCACCCGAGCATAAACATTCCGCTTTTTCTTCGAAAGTCCGAAGAATATTGTCTGGTCAAAAAATCTCAATAATTAATCTCTCATCTGTTGCATATTTTTTTTTCACCTGGAAACATTTACAGCAATAATTCTATTTTTAGGTTCTAGACTATATCTTTTTGTAATACTTTGATTTCTTGTTATATTATGACCTGTAAAAATGCAATGGACTGACTGGTTATGGTTGGGAGGACATTAGAAAACTCGGAATATCGTTGTCAGGAGCTTTTTTTCCAAAATTAAATACAATACCATTAGTTCGATTTTAAAAAAAATTCGCAAAGTTGCACAATTCATGAACTTTTTGTTGCACAGGTGTTCCAAAAAACAAGTTTCAACGCGCTCGAATTTTAATTTGCTTCGTTTTTACAAACTTAGACGATAAGTTTTGAAAAGCGAAGTCTTTTAAAAAGATAAATTTTAACTTGATAAAGCAGGGAGTTTTTGAAGGCCTTTAGTTTTATTATGCTTATTAGTTCAATTTCAGGTATATTTTTTTTATATATAAGTTTATATTGAAGTTTCTGTCACTTCTGAGTTTTGTGCAATTAGTGCATACGACATACGACACTAAAGATGCATTGCAGTTGTTCTACTAGCTGTTATTAAAATTGAATTTATTTGGCTCTGAAATTTAAAAAATAAGATATCCTTAAAATCATGATGATTGAGCTCCTGCTCGAAGAGTACTAATTATTCATCAGTAGTCCCTCAGAGCAGTATGTCTATAAAAGTGTCTTGGTAAATAATTCAAAACTTCACACTAGATGCCTCGATACAGGGGCGGATTTAGGGGGGGGGGGCGGGGGGTTGGCGGACGCCCCCTCCTCAGGGATTCCACCCCCTGCCGACCCAAAGGGTCCCCCCTTTGTTACTTTTTCAGAAATCCATTTTTGGCCGACCAACCCTAAAATTTTTCTAAAGGCGCCTTTGGCGCCAATATATACTAACTTTGAGGGGGAGCGCGCGCCAAAAAAACGCGATTTTTTTGTCAAAAATTTTCAAAAATTGCCCAAAAACGGTTGTTTTGACTGTTTTTTCAAAAATTTGCCTGCGGCGCAGAAAATTTAGCCAAAGTAGGGGCAAAACAGTGCTTTGGGAGAGCTCGAAAAATCAATTTGGTCGACCTAAAAAAAAAAAAAAAGGTCGTCAAAATTTTGGAAAATTTTTTGAAAATCCGCCCCCCTCTCGAGAAAATCCTAGATCCGCCCCTGCCTCGATACAAAATCAAACTAATTTTTGCAAATTAAGGATCGTTTCTGTAAAAAATTTGGTTGTTGTGTGATTCTTCAGCATTTTTGTGTGAAATTTCAGGAGGCACTTTCAGCATTGTTTTTTTGTTTAGGGATTGAAGAAGAAATTGAAAAAGAGGAAACAAAGAGAGGAAGACGGGATAATTTCCTCTTCCACATATCTTCTTCGTGGTTTTCATAGTAAGGGGACAGCTGTAATCAGTCAAGAACACATCAGACAGGATGGGTGGGGGTATGAGCACTACAGGTGAGACATATGAATAGATACATCATGTGAAAAGCTACGCATGGATGAATGCGAATAGTTTTCTTGCGAGCCTTTCTCAGAATGGTGAGTAGCTATGGCTTAGGTTGCCGACTTTTTGCTGGCAATTGCTGGAACTTCAAATAAAAAATGCTCGTTGGTGACTAAAACTGGCAGTTAAGAGTCATTCCAACATTAAGAGCCCATATTTGGTTGAAAAGTTCTCTTAACTTGTTTTCAAAACATTTTAAAGCAATTTTCTTCAGTTAATACTATCGAATTGAAAATCATCTAATTTTTAATCCTGCTACCTAAAAAATCTGATTAAAAGTTGGAAAAAGTTAAGTGAAAATAATGATTTTTCTGTCGTACTTGCACAGCAACTGTCTACTGTTGTTGATATATGCGACCAGCCATTTCAAAACTGCGCCAGCTTTTTTTGAAGGCTCACGTTGGTTTGAGAGACATACACTATAAACTATTGGAGACATACATCACAAAAAAGTGAACGCAAACACCACAACCAAATTTGATTGAACCTAATAAAAATAACTAAAAATTTTGCGCCGCAGGTAAATTGTTTAAAAGAAAAACAGGTCAAAAATCCGTTTTTGGACACTTTAGAAAATTTTGTCCAAAAAATTTCTTTTTTTTTTCGGCGAGCGCTACCCTTGAAAATTAATATATATTGGCGCCCAAGGTGCCTTTAGAAAAGTTTTAGGGTTGGTCGGCCTAAAATTGATGTCAACAAATGATGCCAAAAGAGGGACCCGTTCATTGGAGAGGGATCGAATTCCTAAGGAAAGGGGGGGGGGGGCGTTTTTTATCCGCCCCTTTAAAACCGCCGGGCTTTGATATGCTACCACATTTAACTCCCTATGAGCTTTGTTTGAAACTGTCAAAGATGACAAAAAAACACTTCCTAACCCTAAAGAGCGGTCGGAACAAAAACCAAAAAATACGCTCGTGTCTGTTTTTTTTTTGTTCAAGGAAGTGACTTTTTTTCGACCAAAAAATAGTTTCTGATGAAAATCTTTTGCCACAAAAAATATTTTTTTTTGCAATCATTTTGATAACATAACGCGTAATCGGCGAAATACAACGGTCTAGAAAGCGTTCCAATTTGAAGTTAGGCAGGCTTTACAGTCTGGTTTTTTGTTTTCATTAGTGAAGTTCTTCACCCTGTGCTTCGTGTACTCTGTTCTTTTTGGAAACATTTTCATCAATTGTTTCTAGAATTGAAAATTTGAAATTTTTCGATAGTCGTTGAACCTCGATCGGAAGATTCAGGGTTTTGCTTCGATATGAGCAGTCTTGTTGTTCCGACTTTCGTAAGGAAAGTAACGGAATGTTTGTGCTCGGGGAAGGTTTTTTTTCTTCAGAAAAATTTCGACTTTTTAACTAGCCATTTTTGACGGATTCATTTTTATATCATTCAAAAAGTATTGTTGTCCTGAGCTCAAATTTGAAAAGATATTTTACCTGTGATCATTTTTCGTAAAGTTATGGGGGTTTAAAGATTGCCATTTTGGTGAATTTGTGACAATTAAGGCGCGATATATTTCACGCTATTTACGCGGAAGGGGAGATTTAATCCGTCATAGAAATAGTTCCAAATTGGTTGAAAGAACCTTTTTTGCCATAATTGATTTGTTAATAGGAGCAAAATCTATTCTTTTTTAGTTTATATGGCGTGCGGGGGGAAAATTTTCATATTTTTAAACTTTTTAAATTTTCAAAGTTTTTATCACATTTAATTGGTTAATGGTATTTATGTTACTACTGCTCCATAAACCTTAAAAGGCAGTCGGAACATTCAGGTCTTTGCCCTGATACGAACAGTCTTGTTTTTTATATGACTGAAATTTTAACTTTTGTTATTTAATAATGACAGTTCACAATATAGTTTATCAAAGTTTCGTAAACTATTGGTGACCAATTAAAGCGCCGTCGGAGTTTTAAGAATATTGCCCTGGAAAACGAGCTGTCTTCTATTTCCTATTACTCATATTGACTGTCAGAATAAAAACCCGCGGAGAAATATTCAGTCACATGCTTCGAAGTGCGTTACAATAACGACTAGGCATTTCGTAGAAACATAAACAAGACTGACTTTTAAGGTTTTATGGAGCAGTAAAAACATTTAAAAATAAATGTAAGAAAAAAATGAAAATTTTTTTTTCTAAAATTTTTAATAAAAATTATCCCCCCACACGCCATATAAACTACAAAAGAATAGTTTTCGCTCCTTGTAACAAACCAATTATGGCAAATAAGCTCCTTTCAACCAATTTGGAACGATTTCAAGACGGATCAACTCTCCGCTCACGCGTTAATAGCGCGAAATATATCGCGCGTTAATTGTCCCAAATTGGCCAAACTGGCAATCTTTAAGCCCCCCTAACTTTACGAAAAAAAAATCACAGGTGAAATATATTTTCAAATTTGAGCTCAGGACAACAATACCTTTTGAATGATATAAAAAAATTCCGTAAAAAATGGCTACTTAAAAAGTCGAAATTTGTCTGAAGAGAAAAAAACCCACCCCGGGCACAAGTATTCCGTTACTTTCGTATCGAAAGTCGGAATAAAAAAGATTGCATAAAGTCAACAAAAAGGTTGTTAGTTTGAGCTTCGTATTTATCCATCGTTTTATCAGTTTTTCATTTCTCGATAAGAGAATTTGAAACAAGTTGAAAGGCAGTCGTAACTTTCAGGATTTTACACCTGACACGAATAGTGTTCATTTTTTGCTTTATTTTCTATTTGCAAATTTCAGATTTTTGTATACTTCTTTGAGCATCATAGCTAAATGGATAAGATCGCCCGTAGCTCAGTAATTAGCTGAGCTGCCAAAAGTTACATCTTTTAATAACATGCAGCAGATGAACATCTTTTCAAACGTAAACTCAAAGCCTGATATCTCTTTCGGGAGCTCATTATTGGCCGACTGAAACTAAAACTTTCTAAAAGTATCTTTGGCGCCAAGATCTAGTAATTTTGAAGGGGTACTGCGTGCCAAAAAAGGCTTTTTCGTTTGTCAAAAACTGCCAAAAATTGCCCAAAAAACGGGATTTTTTTCACAATTAGGTTTTGATAGTATTTTTTGAAAAGCTCGGAAAATCTCATTTTAGTCAAATTAAAAAAGACGTCATTTTAGTTTATCTTGACTCTCTGTAAAAGTTGTGAAAATATTCATCAATATCCTTTCAGATTTTTTTATAGAATAAAAAATTGTTTTAAATAGCGTTAACCTTCGAATCCATTTTTTTGTATAATAAATAATTTAGAATTGTTTTTGCAGAACAGTTTATGAAGAATTTTTTGGGCCGAAAGCGTCAACAATAGCTTGCTGCATATTAAAAGGCCCACAGTGTTTTTTGAGAAACTATGGTAATGAAGAGAGTATCGAGTTAAAATCATGCTGGAATTTTGATTTGCTGTCTTAAACTTTATTTGCGTAGGGCGGGAGGCGCTGAATCAGACAAACCACTACAGGCGACAACACCACGCCGGAGATTTGACTTGGGACAAATCGGCCGCCAGACACGCCAGCTCACTTGCCAAGAAGATCGCACGCACAGGTACACTCTTCCATAAAACGAAAGAACTCTGTTTCCACAGAGTCTGTTTTCCGCATAAGGAACTCGAGCCCCGCACGAAGCTTCGGAATCATTGTAGGTCAACCTAGAACATTGACCTAATATTCTTCAATTTTAAAAACCCATAACCCCCTCCCCCCTCCCCCCCCCCCCCTCCCCACACACACCACCCATACACCTCTAAAATCCCAGGTCGACCCTCGATGAAGTGTTTCTGCTCTGTAATATCAAATTGAGGGCAAATGATTGGCTCAAAATATAAACGTGGTGAAAAATTATGATTCAGCTATAATAAAAGCTTTAGTCTGTTAATTCGAAGACTTGTATGGTAAGCAGTTTTGGTGCATGGAGGTCAACCCGGGTAATGTGTAATTTTATTTTTTCTTGTTTATGATGCTTTTTCTTATGTTAAATCTATTAAAAAAGTAAGCATCGAAAGTGCGAGAGTTTAGTTCGTTGTGTGAATGAGTGAAAATAGATGGAACAATAGAACGTTATGTGCTCTGATTTTCTGTAGTCAAAAATTAATCATTGGAAATTAGTTTCCGGTTCATTAGGGCGCTTGGAGCACAGTGGGAGCAAGAAGTTTGGAGAGAACTTGGCGATGGGCACTACTATGGACGGGAAGAGAGCAGTGGACCTATGGTACGCGGAGGTCAACAAGTACAGTGTAAGTCCATAAATTGAGTCACCGATGACCCTAACCCAAACAATCTTTGTCCATAAACTAAACGATCGAAAGCCAGCATTTCAGCTCATGATAGAGAGCCGCTCTGGTTCACCTGCTTTTAGGGTTTCTTTTTCGGGTTCGGTAGAAAGTCGTCTCGCCGTCAAAAGCAACGATACCGGATGATTGTTGGCCTCGAACCACCAAATTTTGACAGAATCTGAGAAATCGCCTCTTCGCCACAGCTATTCAGCCATTCAGATAGTAAATCAGACAGAAATACTGCTGAAAGGTTGAAATAGCCAACCTAGCTGTGGCTGAATCGTAAACGTGTTCGCATTAATGAAAGTTATGATATTCCAGAAAACTAAGATCAGACATGTAATCTGACCCAGAATTTCTTTAAATGCTTCTCAACACAGGCAAAAGTCTCGGAAATAGTAGCTACTCTTTCAAAAGCATACGATTTTGCTTCATTCACTTATTCTTTAACTTTTTTCAGCCATCGTGAGTAATCATAAGTCGTCAATTTATATTCAGACTTTCACGACTGATATTCGCTAGGTATAAGTGCCAAGCATCAGTCGTGACCACCTGAATATAAATGGACAACGTGTGATCAATGGCTGGAAAAAAGTTGGAGAACTAGCGAGGAAAGACACCACAAGCTAGTATTTTTCAATAAATAAGAAAAAATTAAAAATCGAGTTTTTTCGTTAAAAGCTAAATTTAGAAGTATTAAAATTCGTAAATGATCAATTGCTCAGTGCATCTTTGTTTTAATCCTAAATCATCAACAATATGAAATTGCTCTATCTGAAATTGCTCTTTCTTACGAACCCGGGCGAATTGATAAAAAAAATATTAACATCAAAGTGAAGGAACCTGATGCGGCACGTTTATGTACTCAGACAGACATACATCACGTCAAAGAGAAACTCTCCTATTTAAAAGATAATTGATGCACATATCCCGGATTGGTCGGCCAGTAACAATCAGTACTGTTTTAGATTAAAACACTAGTCAGATGTTTTTTGCAGTACTGTTTTAGAACAAAAATATTGAAACAAGAAAAAAGGTACTGTTGCATTACTGTCACAGTATTGTTAAAGTACTGTTGTTTATGCTTCACTGTTTTTTTTTGCTGGAACAATTCTGGTTTTTTTCAGAATTTCGAATTCATTTAAAAACTTCGTTACCCGGTGATTAAAAAACTGTACCCGGTCCACAAACTCTCAGTTAAAAAAAAATTAAAAAGACAATTGGAGTTTTGTTTTTTAATTACTTTTCCATATTTCTGAATTAAAGTATTTTTCGGAACCCACACGGTTCTTTTCTCGTTTTTTGTATTTATTCATTTTTCAAAAAAAAAATTAAAAAAAAAGTCACACGAACAAAACAACGAAATTAGTCTAAAAATTTTTTTCAAATGTGGTTGCTTAATGTGCTTTTCGTAATGTGGTAACATCTCTGCAGCAACCGGCTATGAGTGTTTAATTTTTGGTTTACTGGCCTGGATTTTATGTTCAATGATTATTCGAGTTTGCGATCGATACAACCCAATTTTGCTGTGTACGTGTTTTTATCGTTTTTGAAGTTTTTATTGGATACAGGGCGTGTGTTTTTTTTGTGTGTGTGAGAGTGTGTGTCTGTTCTTTGTTTTTGAGGGTGGTTCTAGGGTAGTATGGGAGCAACTATGTGCCTGGGTGTGGCCATTTTACTGCCCTAGTATGGCGATCCACAACTGGGATGGGGGTGGGTACTGCGAAGAGGTGGAAGGACGGGGCGGAGATAGTGGTGGCTGCATACGTTCCCCCCGGCAACATGCAGGGCCAGTTCAGGGAGAACGTCATGCCCAGGGGCGGCAACATCACGGTCACCTATAAATACAAATAGACACATCAAACACTACAGCAACGAACACTGAACAAAGCTCACTGGTCCAGATGCTCACTGAATGTTTCGAATATCAAAAAAGAATCGACCAAAAAAGAACAGTAGAGACGGATCGAGTTTTTTTAGACAAAAAAGCCGAAAAATGCTGAGTTTCAAGGTTCGAAACATACGAAGCATTTGTCGGTACGTTCGAAATTTCCCGTATTTGGTCATATCGGTCGAAAAATGAAGTGAGCATCTCGACTCGAGACTGATTCAACTACAGATATCTCCTAATAAAAGCACAAAAATCCAGGAGTTAAAAACAGTACAAACAAAACTCTAAAAACCAACCATAACGAAGAAAAAACACCTGTTGCAGAAACTTTGATCGAAATAAAAGCAAGATCATTTAAGTGGGCCTTATCAGGGGACTGCCTGGAAGAGCAGACAAGCCAATGAGCAAACAGAAAAAAATATATAAGGACGAAAGAATGATTATGGATGGGCATCGGGATAAAGAAGAGTTTGCGATTCAGACGCGAATTATCTATAGAAAGCTAGTTCAAATAGGTTTTCCACACCGGGTCGCAGCATACAAGCATTTACAAAGCCAAACTCATCTCGCAGTTGTCGTCAGCTATCAGAGATGCTCAATCAATAATCAGAGTATTGCTGATTTCTGACATCTCTCCCTGATTGTCCTGATCTCACTAACAACTAAGAGCACAACTAAGCCACCAAATTTGAAACTAACTACATTTTTTGATGCGGATCTCTTTTTAATGTTTAGTGAGAAAAACTAGGGTATACAGTATTTAAATCACAATAAGAGCACACGAGCCCTGAGGCTTATCGAGACAAGACCCTGGAACGTCAAAAATACGAGATTTTAGAAACCAACTTTGAAGCAAAAAAGATTTCATACAAATCGGAATCATCTATACGGAAACAATTCTTAATAGTATATCTGTGTGTATTAGTTTTTTAAATTTCAGTACTTCATTATGATATGAAAAAAACGCTAAAAGTTGTGATTAATTTCAAAGATACGATCTTTTTGCATGACAGCTAGTTTTTCCTCATTTTCAACAAAAAACCTCATTGTCAACAAAAAAACTGGTCGAATTCACTAAAATTTTTTGAAAAAATTTTCAATTAAATTTTAACGCAAAACTCATTAAAAAGGGAACAGTGGCTTAAAAGTACAAATTAGTGTTTATTTTTTCTACATCTTGACTCCTTTTCCCTGCCTGATATGATGGACAACCTGTTTTTACTGCAAAAGAATATTTATACTACCAAAATTATTTTCTCATATTTTTGAAACCTTCTATTTATAAATTTTGTCTCGTTTACTGCAAAGGCTTTTAAATTTGCGATTCATCCACGTTTGTTTTTCCCTGGTAGCTTTCTCCTGCGGGCAACAATTATCAAAAATATCAAGAATTGAGTTTAGCAATAAGTTTAGGAATAAAAAGTTTTTCGAGAATTAAGTTTAGCAATAAAATATTTTTTTTTTAAAACTAATTATAGGGATAAAAATAGCAATAACAAATGGTGCTTGCAATGGAAGCTTTTGGTTTCCACAGTCCTAAGTTTTTTGCTTGCCAAATGGTCAACGAAAGTTAGGTTTATAATTGTAACTGTGGTTCGTACTGAATTGTGAACTAATAAACTAATAACAAAACAAAAGATATCTAGACAATGAAATAACCTCTCGTTGACTTTGCTTATCAAGAAGATCTAAGTTAATGCACGCGCTTACGAGGAGAATTTTTGTAGTGGCAATCAAATCAAAAAAAAAATTTAAATTTTTTGTAGCAACTCATCAAAAAGTACTGATGGTGTTTAGTATAAAATGAAAATTCTTTGTTTATCCGCTTTTTCACGAAAAAAGGACTAAAAAGCAATATCTTTTTCAATGATATGCGACCTTTCATTTTTATTACAAATACTGTAAGATTCCTTTTTTTTCTTGCTTGTTGCGTGTAAAAACAAGTTGAGAACCATGTAGATAGTATAAGTCTTAAGGTTGTCATTACAAAATCTACTGAAGTGGATGAGCGTTCTATTAGCTGGTCATCAAGGTTACTTAAGGCTCTTGTTTTAATACATTACAACGAACTGTTTTTGAGTTCGTGTGGTATTTCTTGTCGTTTTTTTCTTCGTGACCAAAAATTTTACAAATATTCAGAGCTTGGTTATCAAATTATTCCTCTTAACATCGCTCTAAATCAACCATCAATATTTGAACCTATATTATCTACAAAGTGTTTTTTGAAGGTTCTCTCTTAAAATAAAAACACTGGTTACCTGAGTAAAAAAACTTCTTCAGTCTCCCTAATTTTTGTTTCAAACCCAAAAATTCACAATAATAGTTTTTAGGAGTTAAGCCCGATCCTTTTTTTTGAAATTATTTTAACCAAAAACCTGAATTTTTTGTGGAAAGACGTGCTGTTTGGCGTGTTTAAAAGCTTCTCTGTCGGTTGGTGATATTTTTTAACCACACAGGGATTTTCTAGCTTGTTTCTTACTTTCTTCGAGTTATCTTTCTACATATATTATTAAACCAAGTCGCGAAGATGATCAGTTATTAATCTGGCATTTATTGCTCTCCGTCCTGCTTCGGTAAGAACATGACCTGATGCGATTTCGACTCCATTGATAGGATTACCCAGTTTGCTCGTTAATAACCTTTAGAACAGCGTTCCAAGGGTCTGATTCAGCTTGTCAGTGAAAAAACAGTGGGAAAAAAGCTCTGTTTTGAGCATATTTTTCTTGAACAACTCCTTGTTGCGTAGTAGTTTGTCATTGGCCAAAAAAAATTTTCAAGAAAAAGAAATTTCCGACCAATCACATTGATGTTTGATAGAGGCGGTCATGCTTTAAGAGCAAAAATTCCAGCGAGAAAAAAGATAACTATAGGGCAGCTAACTTTAATTTTTCTTACTTAATCACATTATTTAAACGGATAGTTAAAGAAATTCCTTTTCGCTTGAGGGGGAAAAGATTTGTGAGACTCAAAGAAAGACCTGTGGTGCTCGATGTATTTCTTAATTTTCCCAGAATTACACATTATTTGACCAGCTTGTCGACCAGCTTGGTTTCCTTTTTAACCTTAAATTCTAATTTTTCTGCATTTTCATAAAAGTTCTTGAGCAGCAAATAGTTTTGAAAAGAGTAATTCCAGATAAAACGGGAAGCATTGAAAACCACTTGGTGTTTTAAAATTGTGGTTAAATAATTTTTTGCTAGTTTAAGTTGCGTTCATGTGCTTGGCTACAGATTTGTTTTACTATTTGAAAAAAATCGAATTTCAGCTTCTATTCCAAAAAACGGTAGAGTCATAAAACTGAATCATAATTGTGTAGCTCACAATTTTTTGGCAATACTTCTGTTTACCCTTAAAAGCATACTAATTCAACTTCAACTATGTATCTGCTCGGCATAATTTTCTAAATTTTAAAACGTTATTTTGTTTCTATTCACGCTTTTCTCAAACTGAACTCCAGACTGGACAAAGATATTACGTTTTACAAATTTTATGTGTTTGATAGTTTAATTTAAATATTTTTTGATAGTGTTTTTCGTCTTATTTTGTGTGCACGCTTTAAATGGCTTTTTTGATTGATATCTCAAATGATTATGAATTCTACTTGATGATTGGATCGGATGATTGGATCAAAAATAGCCTTAAGAAAAGGTAAACCTTTAAAGGAGCGACAACAAAGGCGAGAAACGTTGGTTCAAAACCTGTTGATCCAAAAACAAAGATGTTGTCATACAAACTTTCTAACTTTAAAAAGTTTTACGACCCATCCAAACTTAAACACCTAATTGCAAACGGATATAGCTTGCCCTCGATATTACGCACTATAAGTTGAATAAGTTGATAAAGCATAAAGTGAAACTTTCTAAACATTGGAAAAATGAAAATAAAAAACTCAAAATCAAACTTGGTAAATTTACAAATTTCAGTTATAGTAAAATTGTTTAAATTGGACCAAAACCCACACTTTAAAAAGTTAGCGAATAAAAACCTTGCTAGATAAAAATTGCATTAAAAACGGAAAATGAGCCAACCTAAACTAAAACGAATATCACAGACCCAAAAAAATGAAATTTTTTTTTGATAAGATAGTTACAGAATGAAACGGGCTTCAACTAATTACTACTTAAAATTGATAGTAGTTTTATTTGAATTTTCAAGTAATTGGGCTTGTCAGAAGATGAATGATTACAAGAAAAGAATGAGTCCCGTGAACAAAGTTATTTCACTCTAATTCGATATACCCTTGAGTCGACGGACCAATTTTATGTTGAATTAGTTGCATTGGTGTACAGCCAAAAACCTATGTCAAAACTAAATCACAAGAAATTCAACCGGGTCGAAATTAGGCAACATTATTTTCCGATTATTTCTCGAGCTTAGTTAAGAGTCAAGAGTTTGTACGGTTACAATTTAGAAGTACGGCTGGCTAAAATGCGTAGTAGTTCAACAGATGAGTTTCAACAGATAAGTCTCAGCAGATGAGTTTTTCTAGAATTCTTGAAACTCAAAGATTCTTGACGGTTAAATCTTTTTATCATAGGCCGCTAATATTTAGTTTTCGATATCGTTTCTCGAACTGCTAGTTATGGCTTAATGCGTAGAAATGGACAAAGATACGCAAATTAAGACCCCCTATGTATGGCTCAGAATTCGACCCTCGTTTTCAATTTGGCAAATCCAACAATAACAAAAACAACAATTCTCAAGTATTAGACTTACCAAATGTAAAACGAGGGTCGAGTTCTGAGCCACACATATTGGGTCTTAAATTTTGTTGTTTTTGTTATTGTTGTTGTTTCATTATTGTCTGCTGTGTTTGGCGTGTAGTTCGGCAACAGTAACTTCCAGCCAGGCTGTGGCCACTTCACTGCGCTGGTGTGGAAGGGAACTGGGAAGATGGGAGTGGGCAGGGCGAGAAGGAGAGATGGGTCCGAGGTGGTGGTGGCCAATTTCTTGCCCCCCGGAAACATGCAGGGCAGGTTCAAGGAGAACGTACTGCCCAAATAGACGACACATCTAAACAACAACACAAAATTAACCACCCCCACCCAATCCTCCCATTTCAAACACAAATACGAGAGGAGGGGGGAATGGATCTATTTGATCTATGGCATGTTAGCTCTTTATTTGGCGAAATCAACCATTTGTTTATGTTTGCACTAACAGCTTAAAATCAACAACGAGACAGCAAATCATTGGCTAAATCTATCTAAACATTTCAAATTCAATATCTTGTTTCAATCATAAGTTGAGTAGAACGTCCAAAGCTTTCACTTTTTCAAGACTGAGTTTCGCAAGACTAGCTACGATTGCTCTGCAAGTAACACAGAAAGTTCTAATCAAAAGCGGCACAATTAATCAAATGGAAGTCAAATGAAACGAAAGATTTTTTTAAAGTTTTTTTTTATGTATGTTAAAACTAAGAGAAAACTTTTTTAGATTTTTTTGAATTGTGCCCTATATCGTGGGTGGTGCGTGGTGCAAAAGCTTATGACTTTAGTAAACTGATCATAATTGACTTCAGTTGTCTTCAGAAAACGATTAATAAAACAAAACAGAGAACAAATTAAAATTGTTTCCATTTTCTAAAAAATATCATTGGAATCTTTTTTATTGCAAAGCACACCGTAAAAAAAGCTTCAAAAAAGGCTTAAATAGTCGATATTCATATAACAAATATTACTCGCTCACCTTACTTGTTCTCGACACTACATTTGTTCGAGACTCTACATACAAATGCGAACAAATACGGCTATAAACGATTAAGCCCTTCATGAAATTAGAAAAACTTGTAGCAAATTTTGTAGGAAAATTTTTTATCTAACAACTTTATTCTAAGAAAATTAACCATTTTACAATTTTTTTTTAAGAAAAAGTCTCTATCTTGTAACATTCTTAGAGCCAAATTAATGTAAGAAGTAGGACTCTTATAAGAAAAGTTCCGTAAGATAAAAAAGCGAGTTTTGGTCCCGAAATAATTCAATTCTGGGGTCAAACAAGGTTTTTGGTCTGTTGTGTATAAGAATTTTGTCTTTTTTTTCCTAGCCGACCACTTGTTCAACCAAATGGTAAAGAACCCAATCGATATTTTTACAGCAATTCTGACAAAAAATTGGAATTCATAAAAGCACAGTTTGCGTGTGATATGCTTTTATTATAGTAAGAACGATGTCTGATCTGCTTGTTGTTCTGTTTAAATCATGTTGAAAATTAAAAAAACTGAAATAATTTAACCATATTCACCAACTAAAGATTGTTTTTGTTTTTGTTCAGTTTTGAAAGCGAGACATTATTTTTGAGTTATATTGCATAAAAGGCGTTCTTTCGGTGTTTTAAATGATCTATTGAACTAAGTGTTGTTGTTATCTACTCGTATCATTGAGAAATTACATTTCAGACTTTCGAAGAAAATGACGGAACAATTGTGCTCGTGTGGTTTTTTCTCTTCAGACATTTTTCGACTTTTTACTAGCCAGTTTTGACGGGTTTTTTAAAAATCATCTGTAAGGTATAGCTGCCCAGGGCTCAAAGTTTGGAAAATTGTTTACTTTGTGGTTTTAAAATTAGCCATTTTGGGACAACTAACGCGCGATATATTTAGCGCTACTAACGCGTAAGCGGAGATGTAATCCGTCTTAGAACTCGCTCGAAATTGGTTGAAGCAGGCGTGTGGGGGACATTAAAAAAAATTCAACAAATTTTTTTTTTGAAAAATTCCTCAATTGTTACAAGGCGAACAATACTTTATAGACTTTAAAATGGTAGTCGGAAACTTCAGGGCTTCGTCTTGATAAGACCAGTTTCGTTTTTATCTAAATTCTAAAAGTTGTGACTGTTAAGGTTTGCTATGTAATTGTGGATTTCATTCCGTCTTTCAAACCAAGAATTATTTGCGCTCGACGCACAATTTTTTTATAACCAAGTGTGACTTCGAATCAAGCCCTTTCTGACAAAAATTTCTAAGATAACAGAAAAAAATGATACCCAATTCCAACTCAAAATTAAAAACTCCTTAGACAAGCTCTTATTTTCTACATTGGGTTCGAATATTGCTAACTTCTGGGTAGTGACGTGTTGAAAGTATATCGCTCTTTCAAAACTTAGCTAAGCGTGCAGGGTATTTTTTTTCAAAGAAAAAAATTTTTGCCATGATAGAAGACCTTGCGAAGAATTTTATTGGCATCGATTTTTGTTTCATACATAAAATTTTTAGCGATAATTTCACATTGTTTCAAAAATCATTCAGCTCTGAAAAGTGCAAGATTTGTCAGCAATGAACTAGTGAAAAATCAGTGGCAAAATTTCTTACCATGGTACAAATTCAGTAGTTAGTATCAGCTTTTTGACCAAAGTAAGCCGCGGCGAAGAAAAAAATTTCGGTGCTACAACAGATGTATAGAATAAGGGCCCGATCCTATTAGAGTTTTCACTTTTTGCTCTAACAATAGTTTTAGTGCTACTGTAGATTTAGGGGATTGGTTCTCTTGGTTCGTTCTCGCTCTCTCATTCTCTCTTAACAAAACCACAAAGTGGTCCTTTGGGTAGTGAATTCTGCGGGGCGAACGAGATTCATTACTATCCACAATCCCGAAAGGGTTAACTTGATGGCAACTATTCTGTTCTGTATTCTTTTACTTGCCCCTTTTCTTTTGCTCATAGGGCTGTCACGTCCGCTCGTTACGATGGCAAGAATTTCCAGTTGTCAATAATTTCAGAAAAATATAATTCCAAATACAGAAGGCTCTTGGTGGCCTGAGTAAAGTAGTGAACCTCTGTAGTGAATCCTACATTAGCGAAATGTACACAGTAATTCCAGACACATACTCAGTTCGGCCTGCTAAAATTAAAATTGCCTCTACGGATCACTATTCCTTTGAGATACTTTAGTTGATTTCTCTAACTTCACAAATCACTGTTCTCAACTCCGATGAGAACCCACTATTTTCTTTAATAGATAATATCGTTCTCTAACTAACAGCGAGAAACCAACTACTCTCACTAGTAACTGTTCTCCCAAAGGATAGGCTACCCTTAACTTTCTCGCCATGTTTGTTTTTTGGGTTTTTAGTTAGATTTATAGTTATGATCGTGCCTACAAGTCCTGAGAATTACTTTGGTCCTCCTTTTGCAAGTTCTTAACTGAATTCTTCCTCTGTCAACACTAATCCCATATTACAAATTCATTATAGGTCCTGATATCTAAGTTGTGCAAATATCAAGTCGAATTGCATCTCGAAACCAAGTTATGTTTAATCGACAAGTCTCCCAAGGTTTTCAATTAATTATCCCATCAACATTCGACCTCCAGAGGGTAGAGAAAGAGCCTTTTTATGGGTTGCCAATTCATTCAAAGCGTCTCATATTCCGAACTATACCTTTTCAAATTCTGATTTTCTAGCTATCAGTGAAACTTCATTCGTTTTTTAGATGTCAAATTATGCCAAAAACCAACCTCCGGCAAGCTAGGTAAAAACTCCGTCAGTTCAAATTTTTTAGGAGATCTACTTCCCATACTATGCCCCTATTACCGCCAGTTTTTTGTGGGGACTACTTTTCTATGGCCTGGTTGAGTTTCTAATAACAGATCATTTGCCCAGCTAAGCTGAACCCAATGTTTGTCAAGTCCACTTTAATTAGTTCCACTACTTCAATGTTGCACGATAAAAGCTAATTTATTTTCAGCTTCTGCGTCTATTCCAATAACAAGTTAGGCAGCTGATTCCCGTTTTCCAAGGGTTGGGGCTGGGGAAAACGCTACCATCCCGTGTAAATGCGTGTTTTTCTAGGCAACTTTAGTCCAAGGCCAAAGATCTTCTAAAGATCATCCATGGTCAAGCTTCTGCTTCAGTTCCCAATAAGTAAGTTCTATTCCAATAACAAGTTAGGCAGCTGATTCCCGTTTTTCAAGGGTTGGGGCTGGGGAAAACGCTACTATCCCGTGTAAATGCGTGTTTTTCTAGGCAACTTTAGTCCAAAGGCCAAAGAGCTTCTAAAGATCATCCATGGTCAAGCTTCTGCTTCAGTTTCCAATAAGTAAGTTCTATTCCAATAACAAGTTAGGCAGCTGATTCCCGTTTCCCAAGGGTTGGGGCTGAGAAAAACGCTACTATCCCGTGCAATCGCGTGTTTTTCTTGACAATTTTGGTCAATCTTCAATATTTGGGTCTGAAATTCTAGGGGGGTCCTACCTAGTAAATTTTACATCCCATCAATACTTCCCAAGTTTTCTCATCTCTATTGTTTTATTTATTATCACTTTTCACGCGAAAAGACGTTTAACACCGGAAAGAGTTGCCCAAGAGTTTTACTCAAAAGGGGTCTTTTTTCGGGGTTCGTGTCTAGTGTCTTTTCCCGCCTTAAAATCATCATGCGGCTCTCATTACTTCGCGTAATTTTTCTAGCTCTGGTTTCAAATGTTTTTCCAAGTGCTAATAACTTCCGGTCCAACCACCGGATTTGGCTGAAATTATAACACATGACGTTCCTTGCACTATCTATCATATTTAAAGGTTTCGCTCCTTGCGTTCAGTGAAGCGGGAGAAACTACTTCCTGAAGTCGGTGTGTGGACTATTAGCACAGGACATAACACCTGAAGTAGCGGTCGAGAGAGTCTGGGTTTCCAAACTTATGCGTCCCTAAACTAGGTCTATCACATACTAAACTTTGGTCCCATATCAACCACCAGATACTGAGTTCAGATAAGCCTATTTGCATTTCTGGGAACCGTTATCAATTGGGGGTCTGAATTTTTGCATTCCCGGGTCAAACCATTTCTATTTTCCGTCATATCAGTTTCACAAAGTTAGCTTTGATAGTTCCGATTTGAGAAGGGGTATCACATCTGTTGACGTCTTATACACTTCAGCAGAGGAGGGAGTACTTCTTTCAAGATTCAAATTGTTTCGTGATTGTTCAATTGTTTGCCTTTCTACTTATCTTTTTGGTTAGTTAATACTCAGCTACGCACTGATCATTAGCTTTCACGTTATGAAACAGTTGCCTTGCATAACGAATTCTAACGCCTTAAGTGATACTTTTGCAAGGCTTCCCCTTATTCGTTTGAATCTCCGAACTTGTTCCAGGATGGTAAGATTTTTCTGAACGAGCACACAATGGCCCCGTTTTTATTTCACGTTAACTCAGGGGATAAAAGAAGTTGGAGCAAGTGGCCGGCTCTAAATACCATGTATAGTCTTTAGAATTGCACTGCCGAATCGTGTGCCTCAAATGCGAGGATTGCGAAAAGCGATAGACAGTTTT